TGGGGAGGGCTCCAGGCTGAGAGAGGCAGTTGGGGGCCCTGGGCTGGGCAGTCCCAGATTCAATTGGTTATCTGGACCTGCTCTGTGCTGCTTCTGTTCCTGGCCAAAGGAAGCTGTGGCTGGGGGCGGGGGGCTGCATTCAGGCAACATCAGCGATGCGTGAAGACCCCCTGCTGTTCCCTTCCCCACAGGGCCACATGCCATGGGGACACCATGTGCCTGCTGTTTCCATGAGCCAGTGTGGTAGCTGCTCGAAGCCCTACCAGGAGCCCAGCTGTGAGCGTGCACCTCCCCCTACAGCCCCCCAGCCAGTTCCTTTCTCTGCACCCATGTGCCTGCTGCTTAGCACAGTGCAGGGCCAGAAGGACAGGCTGAGAGTCGCACTGGAAACTGGGCTGGGAGCATACGCCCCCCTCTGCAGCAGCGCACTGGTCTCCTTCACCTTTGCCTCCAGCCCACTGACACCTGCACGCGCTGCTTGTAGCCTCATCACCTCCACAGCAAACAAACGTGAGGCTGGGACGCTCCTTTGTGTGTGAGCTGGTCGGGCAAAGGCAGGGCCCCAGGGCCCTCTGGCTAGGCCAGGGGCTTGTGGCTGGTCAAGTGCCCTGCCGGTAGGTAATGGGAGCTGTGTATGGAATAAAGCCAGGCCAGCACTCAGCTCTGGGAGGCACCAAGTCCCTCCCCTCTTGCCCTGGACTCACCGCGCTCTTGCCCTGCACTGAGGTGCCCTGCTGCTGGAGATGGAGGCACGTCCAGTGCAGAATCTCACAAGCAGGCCTGGTGCTGGGGTGTTGCCTGTGCCGCTCCTCCCCCAGTCACTGCTGGCCCAATGCCCCCGCTTGGCAGCAAGGGGCACTGCCTCAGCGGGGGCTTTCTCGCCAAGGCATCAGCGCTGGCTGCAGTGCCCCTCTGCGTGATGGGGTGCTATGCTGCAGGGAGCGCATGGGGGTGCCCTCCCATCCCTGTGCTGGTTCCAGTGCCCCAGTGCTGTGCTGCAGAGAGCTCAGTGAGGGGCACTCTGGAGCCAGATCTTCTGCGTTTTATTCCTGGCTTGAGGAGGGATCTAGAGAGTTGGGGAAAAACCCAGGGTCATGCCCCAGCTCTGTGGGGTGGGCTGTGAGCCTGCACTCCTGGGATCTCTCCTGGCTATGGGTGGGGAACGTGGGTACCCAGGGGTGTGGTTTCTGTTCCTGGAGCTGTCAGTCCTCTGTCTTGCTCAGCAGAGAGGGGAGCCTCCCTGCAAGGCCCCGGTATGGACAAGTTTCTCTTTACATCCATTCCCCCCCTCCACAGCTTGGGACTTTCTGTCCCTGGGACAGGTGGGTAGGTGAGAGCTGCTCCCAAGCTGGTTATTCAGAGTGTTGTGTTCTTCAAGGGGATGGGGAGGGCTCCAGGCTGAGAGAGGCAGTTGGGGGCCCTGGGCTGGGCAGTCCCAGATTCAATTGGTTATCTGGACCTGCTCTGTGCTGCTTCTGTTCCTGGCCAAAGGAAGCTGTGGCTGGGGGCGGGGGGCTGCATTCAGGCAACATCAGCGATGCGTGAAGACCCCCTGCTGTTCCCTTCCCCACAGGGCCACATGCCATGGGGACACCATGTGCCTGCTGTTTCCATGAGCCAGTGTGGTAGCTGCTCGAAGCCCTACCAGGAGCCCAGCTGTGAGCGTGCACCTCCCCCTACAGCCCCCCAGCCAGTTCCTTTCTCTGCACCCATGTGCCTGCTGCTTAGCACAGTGCAGGGCCAGAAGGACAGGCTGAGAGTCGCACTGGAAACTGGGCTGGGAGCATACGCCCCCCTCTGCAGCAGCGCACTGGTCTCCTTCACCTTTGCCTCCAGCCCACTGACACCTGCACGCGCTGCTTGTAGCCTCATCACCTCCACAGCAAACAAACGTGAGGCTGGGACGCTCCTTTGTGTGTGAGCTGGTCGGGCAAAGGCAGGGCCCCAGGGCCCTCTGGCTAGGCCAGGGGCTTGTGGCTGGTCAAGTGCCCTGCCGGTAGGTAATGGGAGCTGTGTATGGAATAAAGCCAGGCCAGCACTCAGCTCTGGGAGGCACCAAGTCCCTCCCCTCTTGCCCTGGACTCACCGCGCTCTTGCCCTGCACTGAGGTGCCCTGCTGCTGGAGATGGAGGCACGTCCAGTGCAGAATCTCACAAGCAGGCCTGGTGCTGGGGTGTTGCCTGTGCCGCTCCTCCCCCAGTCACTGCTGGCCCAATGCCCCCGCTTGGCAGCAAGGGGCACTGCCTCAGCGGGGGCTTTCTCGCCAAGGCATCAGCGCTGGCTGCAGTGCCCCTCTGCGTGATGGGGTGCTATGCTGCAGGGAGCGCATGGGGGTGCCCCCCCATCCCTGTGCTGGTTCCAGTGCCCCAGTGCTGTGCTGCAGAGAGCTCAGTGAGGGGCACTCTGGAGCCAGATCTTCTGCGTTTTATTCCTGGCTTGAGGAGGGATCTAGAGAGTTGGGGAAAAACCCAGGGTCATGCCCCAGCTCTGTGGGGTGGGCTGTGAGCCTGCACTCCTGGGATCTCTCCTGGCTATGGGTGGGGAACGTGGGTACCCAGGGGTGTGGTTTCTGTTCCTGGAGCTGTCAGTCCTCTGTCTTGCTCAGCAGAGAGGGGAGCCTCCCTGCAAGGCCCCGGTATGGACAAGTTTCTCTTTACATCCATTCCCCCCCTCCACAGCTTGGGACTTTCTGTCCCTGGGACAGGTGGGTAGGTGAGAGCTGCTCCCAAGCTGGTTATTCAGAGTGTTGTGTTCTAGGTGCTGCAGGGAACCAGCCAGGGCTGTCTTCTGCCCCCTCCTTCCCCACAAGGTCTGGAGACGTCCCCCCCTGCAGCCAGATGACTCGACTGGACACGCCCAAGGACCGGTGAGTGGCAGCTCCCCTTTGCTAACAACAGACTCTGGGCACCCTCTAGGTGGGAGTGGAGTTCTGCCCCAGCAGGGATGTTTTCTGGGAACACCATGCCCCATGGGCTGAGCCCTGTGGGGATCAGGTGAGTCAGAGTCTGCAGCTGGGGTTGGAGGCCAGGTATCTCTGTGCTAGGTTTGTGTGTGGGCTGTGGCGGGGGCGTTGGAGAGGAGAAGGCCCACAGAAATCCTTGGAGTAAAGGAGCAGACAGGGGTCCTGGGCAGATGGGGGAGGATTCTGCTATGCACCTTGCCTACTCTGTAACTGCAAGGCGCTCACACTCCCTGAACCCGCCCATGGTGGGGGCAGGAGGAGGGGTTGAGTCCTGAACCAGGCCATTCCCCCATCCGGTTGGAGCATAAACCACTGCCACCACTGTGCTGGCAGGGGGCCTCCAGTGGCTATGCAGTCATTGTTCCCTGATGTGAATGAGAAATGACTGCAGAGCAAGGGCAGTGGCATTAGTGTTAGAGCAGGGGTGGCCGGGAGCCAGGACTCCGGGTTCTGTCCTCAGCTCTGTGACAAGGCAATGTGCAGACCACACCCCATCCCGCGCTGGGTGCAACTTGAGGGTGAAGAATTGCAGCTCTCCAGGCTGGGAAAGAAACGTACATGTCCAGGTGTGAGCAGCAGAGCCAGGAAAAAGGGTGGCACAGGGGGGGAAGGGTGCCAGAGTGGGGGAGGGGCTGGCTGTGTGCTCACCAGGTGCCTGGGTTGGAGGTGGGTTAATCTGAGGATTCTAGTCCCAGCACCCCGCATAGCTGGTCCTAAATGGAAACAACCATCCCCAATCCAGGACCCCATGGGAGGCAAGTGTGTTGGCTGATCAGAAGCTGAATGTGCCACCAAGACTGAGCCCATAGAGGGGAAATGCCCCGGGGGCTGGATCAGAGCCAGTGCCCCTGGAGGGGGAAAACCTTGTTCCCTGGTGATGGTGTCTCTCCTCCAGGTATCATGCTGTGGGAATCATCGTCTTCATCCTGGGTCTGGGCACCCTCTTGCCCTGCAACTCCTTCATGCGGGGGGTGGGGGACAAGGGCTGGGGGGGTGTGGGGGGGGGGGGAATGGGGGTCTGGGGTAGGCGAGAGGCAGACACAGTACTAGGGGGAGAGAACAGAAGGGGAGGGGAAGTGGGGTTCTGGGCTAAGGGGGGAGAGTGCTGGGGAGCCAGGGGTTGATAGTTCTGCTGTAGCGCACAGGACAGGGGTGCAGCCCTGTATGATGGGATCTTGCCAGGGCCTGGGGGAGGTGCCCCCAGGGCTGTGTGGATGGCAGGGTTGCAGCCCCATCTCATTCGTCTCTCTACCCTGTAGTATTTCCAGGCCCGGCTCACCATGGGGGACAGCTTGTCTGTGGGCCTGGTGGGCAACAGCTCTGGGGCCCAGCTGGACCCAGCCCAGGAGAG